TCTGACTGTTGGTAGCCACGCACGTAATGAAAAAGCATGGGATCCAGTGCCTCCCTCCATTATTTGTACTTGCCTCTGGATGTTAGCTGGGTGTACAGCTAACTGCTGGTTTTTCCACTTGGAGCCCATCTCCCTGGGCACCTTTTCCACTTGGAGTCTACCTCCCGTCTTATGCAGGAGAGCCAAGGCATGATGATTGTACACTCCTACCTGCTGGTAGCAAAGTGGCTTGGCTTTTCTTATGGCCAACAGCTGCACCTTTCAGGCCTCTCGGTTGGAAATGTGGGTGCCTGGTCCCAAAGCAAGCTTTGTGCTGGTAGCTTTGGCGTAGGTCAGTGCATTGGCAGTAGCTGTCTTAATTTAGAGGAGGTGATGCCTTCTCCCCTGTACAGCCTGAGAGAGGTAAGCTGGCCCCGCTGTGGAGGTGCAAGCTGTGACACTGAGCATATGTTAGTTTTCACTTTTATTTGCATTTTTTTTTTTTTTTTCTCATGGTCAGATGTGATTGTTAGTGTCACTTCAGAGGGGCCAAGGTAACAGAGCTTTAGTAGCTGCCATTGGGTCAAAAGCAGTAGCTTGGCCTAAGTGAAACCAAGAGGGTTCCATTGTTTTGTATCAGGGAATGTAGCGATAGGACGAGGGTTGATGGTTTTAAACTGAAAGAGAGGAGATTTAGATTAGATATCAGGTTGCCCAGAGAAGCTGTGGATGCCCCATCCCTGGAGGTGTTCAAGGCCAGGCTGGATGGGGCTTTGAGCAACCTGGTCTGCTGGGAGGTGTCCCTGCCCATGGCAGGTGGGTTGGAACTGGATGATCTTTGTGGTCCCTTCCAACTCTAACCGTTTTATGATTTTAGCAGTGTAACTCATAAAACCCATATTTCTCTGCTGTAATATGAGTAACGACTGTTTAAGGTGTACAGTTTTTCCCACTCTGAAAGCTCTTCAGGAGCTTTTCTGTCTTGTCACAAGATAAACTGAGTCACGAGAGATGATAAAGCACCGACTGGGAGTGCTGGGAACACGTTCAGGGTATTGCCAGGTAATCTTGACCCTGCAGTAACACGTGAGAACAAAGCGGATCTCATCGGAAGCTCAAAGGAGGACTTGTTTGTTTTCTCTCAAGTCCTGTGTTTTCTTCCATTTGTCTTGCCCATTCCTGAAACCATCTTTGTTATAAAGCTAATTAGAGACAAAACAGCCTAAGAAAGTTACAGCTCGGAAAGAGGGATGAGCAAGTAGACGGGTACCAGTGCGCCAAAGCGATCTTTTCCTCCAGAACAGGGGTGGGAAAGGAGGATTTTCTCGAGGATGGTATTTGTTGGCTTAAGGGAAAGTGTCAAATGAAATTAGAGGGGGTGATCAGTCCCCTAGTCATTTTCAGTGAAAAATTTTTTCACTGAAAGGGTTATCAGATATTGGAATGGGCTGCCCAGGGAGGTGGTTGAGGCACCATCCCTGGAGGTGTTCAAAAGATGGGTTGATGTAGTTCTGGGAGGTATGGTTTAGTGATGGTGATGCTTCTTGTTTGTTGTGCGGGTGTCTATTTTTGTCAGTTAGGTTGACGGTTGGACAAGATGATCTTTGAGGTCCCTTCCAACCTAGAAGATTCTGTGATTCTGTGTAGTGAGAGCAGTGGATGTTGCAGGAGCTTGAAAATGAGCCGTTGATGCCAGTGTGAGCCCCTCCATTGGGTGCAGAAACGCATTTGGGCAGTGTTTGCTCTCAGAGAGTCCCTCGTGTTGCCTAAAACTCCTCTTTAAGGAATGGAAACAAGGATGTTGTTTGTGGTGGTGCTCAGGTGCTACACCAGTATCTGCTGTTACCACGCGCTGGACAAAATCAGGTAAAATGCATTTTAAAAACAAAGTATTTTGCAGTTTACAGCTATGAGGGAAGTCGAATAAAGGTCGACTGGCTTTTCGTTTCCTGTGAGAACGTACTCTTTGTGTGTAACAGCCCGTTTTGCTGTTGATGTAGGGTTTGTCTGTAGCTCATTAAGCGATGTGATTAGCTAAATGGTGTAGTTTATTCACAGTTCGTGCTGTGTGTGTACATGGAAGTTGGCTTGTGCGTTGCTGTGTTAGGAAAGACGGGTATGTCTGGCAACTGAAGAAGACCATGATGAGTTATGGGATAATTAACATCCATTCTACTGAGAACCAATCCCACCCACATCTCGTGGGATTGCTCAGACCTGTGGATATTTCAAATTCACATCTTCTCTTGCTGACCCACCTCTGTGCTGCTGCTTTCCCTGCTTCTGGAGGCCACGTTTGTGTCTTGGACACCCCTGTATTTTTTCCTTTTCCTGTTTTACCCCACGTAAACTTCTGTCCCCTCCCTCACTCCCTTAAATCCATCTCCAGTCTCCATCCCCTGGAGCAGTTTCCACCAAGTGACACTGTACGGGCTATCGAAAGTCTGCTCAAATCACAGTTCAGGATGCTTGGTGCTCAGTCTGCTGGGCTTTGGATGCTCCATCTGACAGTCCTGAGGACCTACGTAGCTTGGGGGGAAGGATTCCTGCTGGTCTCTGGAACTCGCAGCATCCGTTGCTGGCCCTAAAAGTGCTCAAGAATCGGACTTTGATAAAGTTTTTAGTTCAGCTTTTAGTGGTGTTTTTTCTCCCAGCAGAGCTAAGGTGTTCAGCATGAGGAGGAAGAATTTTTAGTGAGGCCTTTATAAAGCTTTTGTCAGGTGGTTTGCGGTGGTTTTCCTTGAGGGTGGCGTAGACCTCGGGGCGGTGCGGAGCGGAGGAAGGCTCGCACGAGGACAGTGGTGGCCGTGCCAGCCGTGAGTCACGCAGCCGGTCCCGTCCCACACTGTCACGCACTCACTGTGAGCAATCACAGCCAGAGCTGCTTCACTCCCGTTCCTCTTCCCTCTCCGTTTCCAAAGCTGCTCTTCTGAAAGACAGCGACCCACTTTGCACGTGACAGCCGCTTGCTGGTTGTCCTTGGAGGAGTGGAGGTGTGTGTCAGCCCCCGGCTCCGCTGGCGTGTCGGCTCTGGAAGAGCCACGTGCTCCTCGGGAAGGCAGGCAGCCCCGCTGCCGCCTCATCCGCTTGCCAACAGGGAAAATGTTGAAAATTGGCCACGACTTAAATAGGAACAGACGGAGACCAGCACCGAGGCGCTCCTGAAAGGGATGTTTAACAGCAGTGCTTGGTGATGCTAGTCATGGGATCACGGAACTGCCAGAGTTGGAAGGGACCTTCTAGAGATCATCTAGTCCAACTCCCCTGCCAAAGCAGGGTTGCCCAGAGCACATCACTCAGGGCTGCATCCAGGTGGATCTTGAAGATCTCCAGAGAAGGGGACTCCATGACCCCCCTGGGCAGCCTGTTCCAGGGCTCCATAACCCTCAGAGGAAAGAAGTTCTTCCTCATATTTGAGTGGAACTTCCCATGTTCCAGCTTGTGCCCGTTGCCCCTCGTCCTATTGCTGGAAACCACTGAAAAGAGTCCAGCTCCATCATCCTTCAACCCACCCTTTAGGAACTTGTAAACAGAGATAAGGTCTCCCCTCAGTCTTCTCCAGGCTAAAGAGTCCCCAGGTCTCTCAGCCTTTCCTCATAAGGGAGGTGCTCCAATCCCTCCATCATCTTTGTTGCCCTACGTTGGACTCTCTCCAGTAGCTCCCTGTCTCTCTTTAACTGGGGAGCCCAGAACTGGATGCAGTATTCCAGTTGTGGCCTCACCAGTGCAGACAGAGCAGAGGGGGAGAATGATCTCCTTGACCTACTGACCACACTCTTCCCTATGTAGCCCAGGATTCCTAATCTGGGGAAGAATGACCTCCTTAATCTACTGGCCAGACTCTTCCCTATGCAGCCCAGGATTCCATTGGCTCTCTTGGCCACAAGGGCACATTGATGGCTCATGGAAAGTTTACTATCCACCAGGACCCCCAGATCTTTTTCCTCAGAAGTGCTTTCCAGCAGGTCCACCCCCAACCTGTGTTGGTGCCTGGGGTTCTTCCTCCCCTTGAAAATACCTCTGGCTGGTTTTCTGCAGTCCTTATTTCCAGCGGGGAGGCAGGATTTCCTAAAGGAGTGCTCAGCGGTGGGAGGTGGCAGTGGCACCTGCCCCAGGAGACTTCTTCAGCGCTTGCTTAGGGTTGCACACGCGTGTTTGAAAATACCTCTGGCTGGATTTCTGCCGTCCTTATTTCCAGCAGGGAGGCAGGATTTCCTAAAGGAGTGCTCAGCGGTGGGAGGTGGCAGTGGCACCTGCCCCAGGAGACTTCTTCAGCGCTTGCTTAGGGTTGCACACGCGTGTGTAGGGGCGGATGCGCCTGCAGGCAAGGCCCAGGGCTCGGTCCTCAGGCAATCAGTGACTCTTCACCAGTTCTGCAACAAATCGAAGCTACTTATTTCAGATTTGGCACTGGCCCGTGAGATGAGAGAATCTGCCCCGACCTGTTCCCTGTTAATCGTAAAGAGCATCCCCTTTGAAGGGAGCCAGAGGAGAGCTTCTGAAATATTCCAGGAATGGGATATTGTGGGGAGAAGTTCCCTCAGGCTCCATCCTCCTTTGAGAAGTTGTGTCTTCTCTGTGCTCTTGCTTTCCTTTTCTGCCACTGGCTCATCCTCGGTGTTTCTAAGAGAAAAGGCTCGTTTCCACTTTGCCCCTGCGGGACACTCTGGAAAATCCAAGCAGGTTTGCTGGATTACATGGATGTTTGATACGGATACTTCACTCAAAATTAAAACAGCCCTAACTCTTTTTGCCTTACTTCACTTTGGAAGCAAGAGAAGTCAGGGAATGCTGTTTGAGGTCGGAGGAAGGGGGTGTCTGGCGTTAAGATTTAATCCTATTCACATCCAGACGATCCAAAATTTTGTGCCTTTAGCTGGGATGGAGCTGTGCCCAGGCAAGGGTGCCAGGGTGCCGTGGCCGCCCTCGACAGGGAAGTTCCGCTGGAGCCAGTTCCTCCTGAAACCAGGTGGTGACCGCTCCCATGCGGAATCGCGTCCTGTTTCCCCGCCAGCTTTCCCTCCAGCTAGGATTTTGATTATTTATTTTTGTTTTTTTTGTTTGGTTGGTCAAACTCCTGAGAATTTCAGATTTAGTGGAAGTCTAACCCCCCTTCCCACAGCCATGAGCTGGGTTCCCTCCCCTCAGCGCTGCCCCTACGACCCGCTTTGGCACCGCCACCTCCCAGCCCCCCTCCTGGAAGGAAAATCTGCGGAAAAGGTAAAAAAAAATACAAAACAAATCACCCGAGTGGGTAGAAGCCACCAGGTGTGTGGGTGGGGGGGTTACCCGCTGGGTGCCCGCCCCGGGGGTGGAGGGGGGGGCAGCGCTGCCCGGGCAGACGTGGCAAAAGATAAAAGGCAAAGAAAAAGGAGGGGAAAAAAGCAGAAGAAAGGCAAAAAAAAAAAAGGGAAAAGCAAAAAAGCAGAAAAAAGTAAAGAAAAAGGAAAAGAAAAAAATAAAGAAAAAAGCTAAAAGAAAGAAAAAGACAAAGCAAAAAAGGCAACAACAACAAAAAAAATAGAAAAAATGGAAAGAAAAAACAGAAAAAAGACAAAAGTAAAGCAAAAAAAAGGCAAATAAAAAGACTAGTTAAGAAAATAGGAAAGAAAAAAAAAAAGCAGAAAGAAAAGCAGAAAAAAAGGCAGAAGAAAATAATATAATAAAACAAAACAAAAAGAAATAAAAAAAAAAGGAGGAAAGAAAAAAAAAAAGCAGAAAGAAAAGCAGAAAAAAAGGCAGAAGAAAATAATATAATAAAACAAAACAAAAAGAAATAAAAAAAAAAGGAGGAAAGAAAAAAAAAAAGCAGAAAGAAAAGCAGAAAAAAAGGCAGAAGAAAATAATATAATAAAACAAAACAAAAAGAAATAAAAAAAAAAGGAGGAAAGAAAAAAAAAAAGCAGAAAGAAAAGCAGAAAAAAAGGCAGAAGAAAATAATATAATAAAACAAAACAAAAAGAAATAAAAAAAAAAGGAGGAAAGAAAAAAAAAAAAAAAAAAAAGGAAGAGGGAGCAGGCCCTGGCAGGGTTTGCCGGGAAGGGGTGGGCTCAGTCCCGGTGCGGCGATGGGCCGGGTCGGGCCGGGAGCCCCCAGCGGGGTCAGTGTCCCGATCCCGGTGCCATTCCCGGTGCCGTTCCCGGTCCCCCCGCGGGCCGGGGCACGAAGGTGTTGGCAGAACCGCAGCCTCCTGCCCGCACCGGGGATGGAGCTGCCGGGGGGAGCCTGTTCCGCCGCGGTAGTTCCGCCGCAGAGAGGGGTAAAAAACCAAAAAAGCGTTGTGTAATTGTCCCGGCTGCGGCGGTGGATGAGGAGCTGGGAATAAGCAGGCGCTCCGGTGTGCGGCGTTCCCTTCCCCGCACCGATGGCCGCTTCGTTCCCCTTTAATCCCCGCCTTCCTCGGGGTCCCCTAAATGAGGTGTTTGTAACCAACTTGACCCGGAAAGGAGCTGAGGGGATTTGTTAAAACTAAAGTGCTGTTGGCTGCTGGGTCCCTTGAGGGAGGGAGGCTTGGAAGTGCCTCCTCTGGCAGGGAAGGAGGCTTTGGGAGGTGGTGGGACCACACGCAGTTTTGGGCTTGGGAAGGCGTTCACCTCTCCTCTGGAAACTCAGCCAGATGTTGAGGAGCTCGGAGCCGCCAGGCTTCGCTCAGAAGTGGCTTCGGCGTGACAATTAGTAAAATATTGCTTTGAGAGGGTGCGCGGAGGGCAGGGAGATCTCGTCTGTAGGAACCTGGTTCTGGGATTGGATGTAAAAGCGTGGCAGGGAAAGGAGATGAGCCTTCGTAACATTTCGGCGCCGAGGTTTGCTAATGATCTTCTGCTCTCTCGAGCACTAAATGGTATGGAAAGATTAGAACAACAGATTTAATTTATAGACTGGTTAGCGTCTTTGGCAGGAACTTTAGGGAAAGTGCTATCAATTAACTTTGGAGTGAGAGGCTCACTTATATTAGAGGAAGATTGTGCTTGTTTGGTGTTTTTGGCAGAGTGGGGTTTATAGCAGAAGAAGCTTCTGCTGGGTCGGTGACCTAGAGAGATAATACAGCCACAAAACATCCCCGTGTTGTGCAGGGATTTGGAAACCACGCTGTGGTGGTCACCTGCTGCCTGGGACGAGGAGAAGGCTCCTGCACCAAGGAATTCCCACTTGCAGACCCTAAATTATAAAAATATGTGGTTAGGGGATGTGGCTGTGTTTGTAGTGGCCCCTCCTGGCACCTTTGTTTGCTTTGGTCACCTCCTAGGGCTGAATTGGGTCCGTACGTTGAGGAGGGGGGATGTGGTTGTGTTGGTAGTGGCCCCTCCTGGCATCTTTGTTTGCTTTGGTCACCTCCTAGGGCTGAATTGGGTCCGTACGTTGAGGAGGGATGTAAACAACAGCAGGATTGAGTAATAAGGCGTTAGGCAGTTGGAAACGCCACAGAGGAGCGATGGTGGAGAGGCAATTTCCTGCAATTGCGGAGGAGAAAGCTCTCAAAGCTTTCTCCCCCCCCGGGAGCGGGGCTAAGTGGAAAGAGGACAGGGCAGGAGAGGGGTTCGAGCGCTGAGAAAAAGGAAGAAAAATGTGAGATAAGGGGATTTGAATGTCTTCGAGGCTAATGTTTCCTGCAAAGTGAGCTCTGGGTGTGAAATCTGTGCATGGAGCCCTTCTCTCAAGTTTTGGATTGATGATACAGGTGCATCAAACCTGCCCGTGGTCACACACCGGGCATGCTGAACGGGCCACCCTGAGCTGTGGCAAGAGGTCGGGGCCACCTCCTTCTGAGCTTCCTTGGTGGAGCAGTGTGGGGGCTTGCAGGGCTGGAGCCTCTTCCTACGCCCACCAGGAACTGCTGGGGAAGACAGGAGTTTGGATGACCGCGGTGAATCCTTTGCTGAGCGAGATCTCTGGCGAGGAAGGAATGTCAGGAGAATATGGCTTTTCAATTGCAATCTTGTTCCGTGTTGTGTATTTTCTTCCTTTTTTTTTTATGACTATGGCTATTTGCATTAAAACATGAGCTTTGTTTCTTTGGAGTTCATCTGCTCCTGCTGCTTTTGCCCTGCTGGAAGCCCCAATCTCCCCGCAACAGCAGCCAGTTGTGAGATTGTGAAGGGCTCTTTGCTTCAAAGAGAGGAGAGGGAGCAGCGGGGAATCGGTGAACTCATACAGCTCTGGTGCTGCTTAACTGGCCACGTGGACGGGGAGAAGAAAAACCTCCCGTGCTGGCCATTGTAGCCCAGCTGCAGGAGACCCCAAACGCCATGGTGGAGCAGCAGCAGCATTGGTTAGTTATTACTGGATATTTAAAAGTAGAATAATAAAGGCAGGATGGTGAAAGGGCTGATCTGGGAGCTGGGATTCAGACCTTGATGGAGAAATTTCAGAGTCACCCAAAGTGCTTTCTCTCTTTCTCTTGTCCCTGTGAAATAGGAAAAGCACGTTTCTGTTGGTTGTCTTGTCTCCACAGCTTGTAAGCTTGAGAAGTCAGCGATTCCTACATTGTGCCCATGGTACATTTGGTCTCTGGTCTCAACTAAGGTGTCCAGCCACTGGTAAAAGCCATGGGTGACCACAGTTGGTTCTTCTAATTATGTGAGCTCAACTGGCCAGGAAACTATTGGCCCCAGGAGAGCCAACGATCCAGGCAAAGTGTCCTCTCCACAGCTGTGGGGCATGTCTTGCTCCCCTCTGGCTGCAGTCCTCTTTGTCTTAGCTGGGCATGGTGCAGCTGTGCTGAGGAATAGCCAGAAAGGCTCTGCTGGCAGTTGGTGTGGGACACTGTGGGCAACTGGTTGATGGCCATGACAAGACCATTTGGGGAAAGTTAAGACTTGCAGTCAGCTGGAGGGAGGTGTAGGAAAGCAGTTCTCTATGATTAGAGGGCGAACTTCATAAAAGAACCACCCCAATGAGGAGAAGAACCAGCAATTTTGAGGTAGAAAAATGTTTGTGCTGGCCTTCCCCTTCTGTAATGGGTTCAGTTGTCCTTGAAATAAAGCTCAATGCTGCTTTCTTGGTGCTTAGGCCTGACCGACTGCAGCCATGATGACTGTACCTCCAAGGGTGGGCATGGCTATGGAGAAAGGCTCCTGTGGGTTGGTGCAGGGGATGTGGCTGAGAGCATCAGGAATGCAGAGTGTTGGGTCTGTGGTGGTGGACACCTTCAGCTGCTCCAGTTGTATCTCTGCAGCGTACTGGAAGAAGGACAGAGCTGGGTAACAAGGTTGTGTGTCAGGGGAGAGCTTACATTGGTGGGACTCAGTCTGCAGAAGGTACATCTGAAGTGGGTATGACCAAGGCTGGTAGTGTCTCTGGGGTAACATACTTCAGAAGGGGAACAAAGAGACCTGCACAACTGCAGCCAGAGTGAGGAGTGAGAACGTGTGAGCAACAACTCTGCAGACACCAAGGTAAGTGAAGGAGTGCTGAGGGAGAAGGTGCTCTAGGTGCACCTAGATATTCTTCTGCAGAGGACTGTGGTAAGGCAGGCTGTCCTCCTGCAGCCCATAGAGGTTAACGGTGGAGCAGATATCCACCTGCAGCCCATGGAGATCCCCACACTGGAGCAGGTGGATGTCTGAAGGAGTCTGTGACCCTGTGGGGGACCCACGCTGGAGCAGGCTCCTCGTGGGGCCCATGAACTGTGAATCTGGGGAGAGAGGAGCCCAGGCTGCAGCAGGTTTTCTGGCAGGATTTGTGACCCTGTGGGGTCTGTGGCACTGGAGCAGTCTGTTCCCGAAGGACTGTACCCCATGGAAGGATTCATGTTGGAGAATTTCGTGGAGGACTGTCTCCTGTGGCTGGGACCCCACACTGGAGCAGGTGGATGTCTGAAGGAGTCTGTGACCCTGTGGGGGACCCACGCTGGAGCAGGCTCCTGGTGGGACCCATGAACTGTGAATCTGTGGAGAGAGGAGCCCAGGCTGGAGCAGGTTTTCTGGCAGGATTTGTGACCCTGTGGGGTCTGTGGCACTGGAGCAGTCTGTTCCCGAAGGACTGTACCCCATGGAAGGATTCATGTTGGAGAATTTCGTGGAGGACTGTCTCCTGTGGCTGGGACCCCACACTGGAGCAGGGAAGAGTGTGAGGAGTCCTCCCCCTGAGGAGGAGAAGCAATAGAAATATCTGATGAACTGACCCCAACCCCATTGCCCACCCCCCTGTGCCACTTGAGGGGAGGAGGTAGAGAATTTAGGAGTGAAGTTGAGCCAGGAAGAGGGGAGGGATGGTGGGAAGGTGTTTTTGAAATTTAGTTTTGATTTGTCTTGACCCTACTCTGATTGGAGTCTGTATTGCCTGTGATGAGAATTGCTGAGTGATCTCCCTGTCCTTATCTCTGCCTTCTCTCTTTCCTGCTTTCACAGTAAGTGCAATAAAATCATGAATCTTCTACATCGGAGGATCCAGCACGGCAGGAATTTGACCGAGGAGAATAGCTGACCTTCTGCTGGGATCGGGCTCGCCTGCTGCAGTGTTAGGGCTGTGCGTTGGGCAGGTGGAGGCAAGGCCAAGGATACCATGTTCAGCCTGAGTGGTGCCAGGAGCGAGGGGTACGTCCAAGAGCTGTTCCACGAGGAAGCACAGCAGGTATGGTGGAGAGCCAGTTGCCTTCATAGCCCAAGTTTCCATCTCCGGTGGTCTCTGCACCTCCTCCTGAAGTCACAAGACCACCCTTCTTTCTGCGGCTTAAACCTCAGGGGCTGCATTTGGAAAGGGAAGGGACTTGGTTTCCAGAGTTGCAGTGGGAAAGCTGCAGTTGCCCTGGAGTTTCAGCTCTCAGTTCCAGCAGCTCTGAAATTCACTGGTGCCCTGAGTGACAGAGTCCCGTGTTTCCTCTAGAAACAGTGTCCTGATCCCCAGATCTGTAGCAGGTGGCTGTGTGTGATGGTTAGGCCATCTTAACCTCTTCTGTCAGTCCCATTTGGTCCAGCCTGGTTTGTCATCTCATCTAAGAGACTTCTCCAGTGTGCTGAGGATTCTGCTTATCTTGGTGGGGTGTTTGGCAGGGACAACGTGCAGCTGCAGGCTCTGTAAAAGCATCCCTTGGATGATGTGTCTGGTTCAGGTAACATAATGAACGGGGTTAATTCGCTGAGGCTGAGGAGAATTCTGTTGCTGCTTATCCTACAAGAATATAAATAGGGCGTTACAGGGAACTCCCTCTTCCAGGGCCTGGGGATCTCAACAGCTCTGCTGCCCCTTCATCTTAGAGACAACTTGTGGCAAAGTGGTGTCTTAGCAGCTGTTGGTGGCCATCCCACTGCTGGTGGTTGGCTGTTGCACCACTTCTGCAGCTGGCCCGTAAAGCACGAGAGGTTAAACTGAAGGCTTTGCTTTTCTCTAGGTATCTCAAACACAGACCAAGCCCTGGTGGAAGATCCAGCTGTTTGTGTGGGAGCCGGTGCTTTTTGGTACGTGGGATGGCGTCTTCACCTCCTGCATGATCAACATTTTTGGAGTGGTTCTTTTCCTGAGGACGGGATGGCTCGTGGTGAGTGAGCGCTGACTTTCTGAATGTGTGAATAGGCATTGTCCTCCTCACCTCCTTACCTCCTGTCTCCCAGGTGTTTTGGATTCTGTGCTGCTCCTCATAGGCAGTCAGCTGGTTAATGTCCTCTGGCGTTTTGTAGCATTTCAAAAAATGTCACTAACATGGAAAGCTGAAGTGGTCTTTGTAAGTGATTTCCTATTTTAGCTTCAGGAAAGAAATAGGAAAACACAACAACCAACCTTGACAATGACCAGGGGCACCCTTGTGTTGTATTGTTGAGATGAAACAACTGTTTTTCAGGTAAAGCTTATCACCACAGTTACAGCTACTCAGCCATCTTCCCAAACCCACTGCAGCAGGTCTCTTCCAAACATGTCTATATTGCAGTCCCCAATGTCTTGAACCGCCATCCTCGGTCAGGCAAAATTGTCACCGCTGTCAAAGGGACTTCCACTTGAAGTGGAAGTATCTCCACTTCAATATTATCTCACCCAGGGTCAGAGCCTGGAAGAGCGTCTCTGCTCCCCTCTTGATGCAAAATATTGTATTGTCCCTTAAAATTTCCCCTTAAAAGAAGGACGGATCCTCCAGGGACCAGTGGAATTTGAGCTTTGGGTAGAGTTCATGTCACAGGCATGAGTTCATGTCACAGGCGTGGTGGACATCTTCCAAAAGGAGCAGGAAGCCACTTGCACTTGTGCCGAAAATGGCTTTGCAGGGGCCTTTGAGGGGAGCTGCAGTTGTGGTGGTGGAGAAGTTGGGATGATCTTGCTACCTCCCTTTTCCTCCTGATCTTGCCTTCTCCATGTCTCCTTTGAAAGCAAGTCACTGCTGGAGCGAACACAAATAAAAATAAAGCCAGTAAATAAAAGAAAAACTGAAACAGCTGGAAGCGAGCACAAAAGGGAAGGGAGGAGAAGTCAGGGTTGGCAGAGAGCTCCCCTGGCAGAGGACAGTCATGTCGAGCTGTTCGCAGAGTTAGGCTTTTGCTATAAATTTCCTGAGCCTGGGCTGGTAGAGCTTTGTGATTCCAGGGGACCCTAATCTTGCCGAAATCCTCAGGGCGGTTGTAACTGGCTGCACTAACCCCCTCCAGCAGGAACGCATAGATAGGCATCAGTGTCTAATGGGGGCTTTTTCTTCCCACTTTCTCTTCTTGCTGCTGTTGCTGTGAGGCCAGTTTCCCTCCCTGCTCTTCGGGTTAACCCTTGGATTGGCCATTAACTAGTGGCTGCCATAGCCTGGTGCCACCAGATTCTGGAGAAGCCCGAGGCTTTCGTGTACGTTTGCGTGTGTGCACCTATTTTTCTTTTTTTTTTTGGACTGAAGCGCGTCATATTTATTAACCCTTTTAACCTGAGGGCAAGCTGTTGAAGAAAAAGAACTATTGTCCTTTTGAAAAAGACGTGTGGGGCTGTAGTGGGCTGTGGTGCTGACCCAGCCAGCAGCTGCCTTTATAGCGAGCCTTGGCTCCCTTCCCTACTGACCAGATAAAACCCGTGTCAAAGGCAGCGGGGTGCTTCAACCAAAATAGGATTTTATGATGATAGCGACATCCTGAATGTGTTTCTGTTGTTTCACAAAGAAGGGAAAAGAGAAAAAAAAAAAAAATAAAATATATATATATATATCTGGGATTTCAACCAACCCCAAAGCTGAGAAGCGGCTTTTTAGTGCTGGTGGCGAACAAAGCCCATCAAGGCTAGTGTGACCTCAGGAATGAGCATTGCAGGAGCAAGGCTGGAAAGGAGGGATGTGGACATGGCCTGCAGTCTCAGTAGAGGCAGGGGAAGGGAAGCCAGGCGTTAAGGAAGCGCTGGAGGAGATTTCTGGTGGTGCAGTTGGAATCACTGAGCGATGTGTCAGCAGGGGAGAAGGTGGGCTGGAGCACGGGGGAAAACTTTTGACTCTAGAAGATGAATTACGGCCATGTGCGAGAGGGTTGGAAGGTCCCGAGCTCAGAAGAGGTGCTTGAATGCTTTTGGAGGTACTGAGGGCCATCGGTTTCTGAAAATCCGACCGAAATGGCAAACAAAACCTTCAAAAATAGTGATGATGCTGGCTGTTAAAGCTGCCAACATGGACCTACAGGTGGGTTTGTTCAGGGGCTTTGGCTCCTCACCCCCAGCGGCACCATGGCTGGTGCAGCACCTCCTCCCCACTGCCCCCAGCAGCAAGGAGTCCTTTTTTCCTTCCTCGGGGCTGAATCCTCTGCACAAAACTCCCCCGAGAACAGGGAGAGCGAGAGGCGCTGGGCGTGCGTCCTGCGGGTACGGCACCGCGTGCGCTGGTGTGTCAGAGTGTGATTTATCCTCCACGCCAGGTTGCCTGTGGGGTTTTGTTCTTTGGCATCTCATTGTCTGGGAGGATCAGAGCTTTTAAAGGTAAATGTTCTGAAAAATTAAAATGTGAGCTGAATAATGCTGTTAATAAATCGGCTGTTGCAAATCCCAGAGGTTCAGTTTTGAAACTGCTTTTTGTTATGGAAGTGGTTTTTGGGTGGTTTGTTTGGTTGTTTGGTTTTTTTTTAAGCATGTCATTCTAAAACATGCAAATAGAGAGTGATCCCCTGCCCACGGTGGCTGAATCATTGTTTGACATCATTCTTTTTAAACCAGAGGACAAAATCAGTGATTCATGCAGGAGCCCAGTGACGGAGCAGAACCTGCTCATGCAGAGGTCTGTCCAGCCACAGGACGAAGCAGGTCTTCAAAGGGGTGCTAATAGAAACTTTGGCAATCAGTTTGGCAATCAATTACATTAATTAGATAAATACGGGTATGTGTGTGTTTTTCTTTTAATCTGTAATGACTCCAGATTCATTGATCACTAGTGACCCGAAGCAGATAGACAGGTCCTTTTTCTGTATCAACAGAGTTGGTGTGACTTGATCTTTATTTGATTTTTTTCTTCTTTTTTTCATTCCAGGGAAACACTGGCATTATAATGGGCATGTTTCTGGTGTCCTTTGTCGCCCTGGTCGCCCTGGTGACAATCTTATCTGGAATTGGGGTGTGTGAGAAGTGCAGCATCAGAAGTGGAGGAGTCTACTCCATGATTTCTACTGTCCTTGGAGGTCAAGTAGGAGGGACCATTGGCCTCCTTTATATTTTTGGCCAGGTAATTAAAAACAAAAAGTTATTTAAAGAAAATGTTGAAACTGCAAAGCAGATCTGAATCTTTTGCTTTCCTGCCATAGCAAGTAATGCTCCAAGAAGACTGGGGGGAGACCTTATAGCATCTTTCCAGTGTCTGAAGGGTACCTGCAAGAAAGCTGTAGAGGGACTTTTTACAAGGGCATGTAGTGATAGGATGAGGGGCAAGGGCTTTAAACTGGAAGAGAGTAGATTTAGGTGAGATACCAGGAAGTAAGTCGGCACTATCAGGGTACTGAGGCACTGGAACAGGTTGCCCAGGGAAGTTGTGGATGCTCCATCCCTGGAGGGGTTCAAGGCCAGGCTGGATGGGGCTTTGAGCAACCTGGTCTGGTGGGAGGTATCCCTGCCCATGGCAGGGGGGTTGGAACTCAATGATCTTTAAGGTCCCTTCCAACCCAAACCATTTTATGATTCTATGATTGTGTAAGTAAAACCTGAGTAATGCTCCACTATGCTGGACAGCATGGGAGGGCACCATGGGGAGCATTCAGTCCCGCTCTGCTCCCCCAGAACAAGCCTGTGCGTGGCCATGTGCCACCTGGCATAGGTCACAATGGTGGAGGAACTGGGTATCTCAACAAGCAAACCGTGCAGGACATGCCCTCCCATCCCAAATTACCCCCATTGCCAGGACATGCCTTTGCTGGTGAGAGACTTGACTTAAACTGAAGGGGGAGAGGCCATGGTGGCCACCTGAAGCCCAGCGAGCAGCTGTGGGCTGGCGGCTTGGCCTTGGCGTGCTCCCTGTGCCCTTAGGGACTAGGCAAGCCTTGGCTGATTCTCCATGGGAGCCAGCAGAAGTGGAGCTGGTACGGGGAGGAGAGCTGGGCAGCGGCAAGGGCAACAGCTAACTGACTTCTTGAGATCCCAATGTCACAGTTCTGGGTTTTCTGAAAGGCCCCAAGGAGCTGTCGTGGTGGTGAAGCACTGAAATACACAAGTAGTAAACATAAAAAATGGAAAGTAATCTCTTAAGCCTGCAGTAACTTAACCCCCTCCCCCCATAAAGATGTTATGAACGGTATAAAATGTGGTGAGCAGAGAAGCATTTTTATTGAGGTTTGTTTTTAACTGACTGGCTTGCAGCAACCTCCGAAAAACCCTTAAAAGCCCCCGAACCAAAAATAATCCCCTCTTCTCCTTTCACTCCAGATTAAAAGCAAGTGTCCATAAAATGCAAACTGAACACAGTTACAAGCCAAGATATGGAAACGGGCCACACATGAGAATCCTTCCTGTCATATTTTCCACTCTGGCTCTGCGAGCCAACCCCGTCTGGGAAAGCAATCAGGATGCAGCCTGTCCTGAGGGTCGTAAAAGCTGGGCTGCGGCCTCCTCGGCATCCCGTGGGGGCTGCGGGGTGGGAGCTGGCAGCTCACTCAGGAACGCTTTGCCCACTCCCAAAAGCTGATGCCTTTCCCTTCTCTTTGGCCGTGTCTTCTGCCCAGCGTTCTTCGGACCAGCTGCAGGCTGCTCCCCACTCCCCGGCTACAAGGTGCTGGTGTAACCTCCGTCCCGAGGCGAGTTTCGCTAGAAATGGGGGTGTTCCCCATCCTTGCACTCTTCGTGCAAATCGCATGAGGTTCAACCAAGCCAAGTGCAGGGTCCTGCACCTGGGACGGGGCAACCCCAGGCACAAATACAGGGTGGGTGGAGAATGGCTGGAGAGCAGCCCTGAGGAGAAGGACTTGGGGGTGTTGGTGGATGAGAAGCTCACCATGAGCCGGCAATGTGCACTGGCAGCCCAGAGAGCCAACCCCATCCTGGGCTGCATCAAGAGATGCAGGTCACGGGAGGTGATTCTGCCCCTCTGCTCTGTGCTCATGAGACCCCACCTGGAGTACTGTGTCCAGCTTTGGAGTCCTCAACACAGGAAGGACATGGATCTGCTGGAACAGGTCCAGCGGAGGGCCATGAAAATGATCAGAGGGATGGAGCACCTCTCGTATGAGGAAAGCTGAGAGAGCTGGGGTTGTTCAGCCTGGAGAAGAGAAGGCTCCAGGGAGATCTCATAGCGACCTTCCAATATCTGAAGGGAGCTACAGGAGAGCTGGGGAGGGACTCTTTGTCAGGAAGTGCAGTGACAGGACAAGGGGTAACGGTTTTAAACTGGAAGAGGGGAGATTTAGATTAGATACCAGGAAGAAATTCTTTCCTGTGAGGGTGGTGAGGCACTGGAACAGGTTGCCCAGAGAAGCTGTGGATGCCCCATCCCTGGAGGTGTTCAAGGCCAGGCTGGATGGGGCTTTGGGCAACCTGGTCTGGTGGGAGGTGTCCCTGCCCATGGCAGGGGGGTTGGAACTAGATGATCTTTAAGGTCCCTTCCAGCCCAAACCATTTCATGATTCTGATTCTCTGGTCTGTCTGGGGCAAGTGGGGAACGGCTGGCAACGTGCTGCTGATGCCCTGGGAGATGAGAGGTGGTGGCTCAGTGCCCTGGGGATGCTGTGGAGATGGGCTCCTGCTGCATCAGCCAAGGCAAGCTGAGACCCAGCTGGGCTTTGCTGTCCTCCTGGGATGTTCCAGAGGAGAGGCTTAACCAGATTGCCCTAAATGATGCTGCACGTGTCTGCTAGGTCCTACGGAGACCAATATGTGTTTGCTCACCATAGCTCTAACCATGGGGCCAAGATATGGCCTTTGCTTTGCAGTTTCCTTTCCTGGAGTGGTTTGCAGTAATTCCTGTCTGTGTAAGCAGAGGTTTTCCAGGGTCAAACCCTAAAATCCCAAAAGCAGATATGGTGGCAGCACTTATTTGGGTGTTGAAAATCAGTTATATTCCTCATCCAGCAAACCGTGTGGTTTACAAAGGCTCGTAAGGGACTGATTTCTGCGAATTTCAGCTTAGAACTCAGTTCTGATTTCAAGACAGGTAGCTCATGAGAAACCAGCCCATGTCACAGTGCTGCTGGGGCCCTGGCCATTACTTTTTGCAGAGCAGTGGGTTGGTTTTGGGCACCCAGCTCCTCCATTCTGCTCTTGGTTCATCTGAAGAAATGCTTCAAGGAGGCTTGTGGTGCTGAGATTGTTGGTTTGCTCCACTCTGCTCCCTTCAGAGTGTCCTCACACATTGCCATCCTTGGCGTGAAAGGAAAGAAAACTTAGTTATGAAAACTTAACTTCTTTGAAAGCTGATGTTGGTCAGGTACACGGAGTTGGGGTTTGGTGATACTGCTTTCTGTCTACAGGACCTTTCCTCATGCAAGAGGCAAGAGCTACACCTGATTTTAATGAGTGTATCAGAGTTACATTCTGTTTGTGGGTTTTCTGGCTTCAGGTCTCAAGTGCAGTTTTTGAAGGTGCCCAAAGCAGGGCTGTGCTGGCATGAGGTATTGTCCTCTGCTATCTCAGGAAGGACCTGTTTTCCGGAGAGCACCTGTGTAGGATGTGCGTGGTCCACTTGGTGGTGGTGTAGGCCATGCTAAACACAAATAAACAAGAATACATCCACTTATTGGGGATTAACTTGCACAGTCTGAGGTATCTGTGGTGGAGACATTCACGGTGGGGCTACCAGCAAGGAGAGACTTTCAGGGTGTAGTTCTCCTGATCTCTGCTATGTGTCTGCCTGTGATGGAAGTGAATCCTTCTCTAGGATCTCCAACTTGTAGGTGTGGAATCTGAATTGGTGAATCCTCCACACCTTGCTGGCTGAAGATCACATGAGAACCCACAGCACCTGCTCTGGGTTGGGTTGTCTTGAACACCCTCAATGGGGTAGTGTTGTGTTGGTCCAAGGGGGATCTATGAGAAAGGAGGTGTCTGCTCTGACTCTTGCTGGTTTGGGTGGGGGTTTTCTCCTTTCCAGTCGTGTGGGAGCTGTTCTGCACATCCCTCATCCATGGATGGGGATAGTGGGGTCACAGGACCCAAGGTCACACCACCTGCATAGTGTGCCCTAACCTGGTTTGTCAGGAATACCGTGCACTGGAAAGGGTTGTTGCTGGAATGTCAGCTAGTGGGACCCTCCGGAGGGAAATGTCCTGGTATTTAGGCTCACTGCCCGGCAGTGGGGTTGGAGGCTGCAGATGTCCTGTCCTGGAGACTCTCAGCCACCCAGGGCAGAGCGTGTCCTGCCCTGCAGCAAGGCAAACAAGCAGCTTTCCCGGGAGCTCAGGGGGCAGGGCTCGCACAATGCGCTCTCCTCAAAAGCGCAGGCTCAGTTCCAGCAACGAGATGGGGAGCCGGTGAGACATCAGGCTTCACATCCAAACTAAACACCGAGTTAAAAATAACCCCTGGGAGGCAACGGAGGGGGAAACGAATGGCTGTTCTTCAGGCAGGTGTTGAATGGGGACCCTTTCCTTCAGAGAAACAGAAGAAGGGGTGAAGCTCAGAGGTTGACTCATCCTTTTCTCTCTCGGAGAAGCCAGTGTGGTTTCTCCTGGAGCATTAATGGAAGGTAAATTTAAAGCCAGTGGAGAGTTGCTGGGCTGCTGGCCCTAGCGCCCAGTCTTCTCTCTTTACCCGGCAGTAGGTGTGCTGCCCTGGCAGTGTGCTGTCTTACAGCCATAAAGTTCAGTCCCTCTGGGCCAGAGTAACATGAAAGATTGTATTGTGACAGCAAATGTGTGTCCATCTGAGCAGAGACCCCCCCAGAAGCCCAGCGTGTGGGGCTGCAGATGGGCATCCCTTCTTCTGTGGGGCACTCACAGAGCTCCCTCCTTCAGTGTGCTGCAGGTGCCATGTACATCACTGGCTTTGCGGAGTCCATCGCAGATGTCCTGAGCCTCAGCAACATCTGGGCGGTGCGTGGGATCTCCCTGGCTGTCCTCCTGGGCCTGCTGGGGATCAACCTGGCTGGGGTGAAGTGGATCATCAGGCTCCAGCTCCTGCTGCTCTTGCTGCTGGCTGTCTCGACGCTGGACTTTGTCATCGGGTCCTTTACACACCTTGATCCAGGTAAAACTGGGAGTTCATCACATTGGGCGTCATGAGGCACTAATCCCTCGGGGGTTTTCTCCTTAGGTGTCTTTGTGAAGTTACACATCTGGGCGGAGGTGGAGTTCAGCGCTTCCAGCCATGTCTCCATCCTTTGCCTTTTAGAGGCAACCCGTGATTTTGCAAGGAGTAAGTATTTCCAGAGCATGACTGAAGATGCCTCACTAATTTGGGTCTTTAACCTCAGGAATCGAGCTCTCAATGTGTGTGCCTGTTATCCTTGTCTTCCCCTCAGAAGTTTCTAACAGGAGAGCATCTGAGTTTGTGGTCCCTGTGTGTAGCCTTCTGCTGTCTGACTGTGTTGAGCATTGTGCCCACGAAGACGGGGGACTGTGACCTGGAGGAGATCTTCTCCCCAGAGACCCCTGAGGTCACTTAGACCTGGGCTGTGATGAGCTCTGTCGCCAGCGCTGGCCCTGGGCTGCACCCTGCTGGATTTGCTGCCCAGGGCCATGTTGGGGAGCCAAGGAAGGGGCTGGGTGGGTTGGGGCAGGTGACTGCTGGGGTTTCAAGGAGCTGTGGGTACAAATATGCCCCCTCAACCTTCCCCGGCCTTGACTTCAGCCTGCAGGGCAGCCCCAGCTCAGGCAAGGTGGAGGTTCGGGACTCCCACCTGCAGCCCCACTTGCCCCCCGGACCCTTTTCCCCTCCCTCTGTCCTCGTCCCGAGAGATGTTTGCAGGGAAACGTATCTAAAAGCACGGGGAGTTGTGGTGGAAGGGGTCCATGAGCGCTGCAGTGGCCGCTCCAGCAATAATGAAGTGTAATTAGCTGAGTAAACAGAAGGTGTCACCTTCTTCTTGCCTTCCCCTGTGTCCAGCAGCACCTCAGGGGGTTGCAGGGGAACCTGCTAAAGTTGTTTTAAAGGAAAGATCTTCAGTTTTGGTTTAGTTTAGGATTCAGCTGCCAAGTTGGGCGGGAGGAGGTGAGTCACGTAGGTGTTCGTAGCACTGATGGTGTGGCTGTGTGTTCACACTCCTGTGTTGTTGTGTGCTGCTGGGTACGGTGTACAAGAGTGGTGGGGTGGGGGCTGAAGCTGCTGCACCAGCAGCTGCTGTTCTCTCAGAGAGAACCCTGTGGAAAGGTGTTTAGCTTGTAAGAAATGCCCCAAATGAAAGCCAGCAAAAATCTCAGCAGACACTTGGAAATGAGGACGAAGCGAGGACGGTTGTGCTCGGTGCGGCGTGTTTTGCAGAGAAAGCAACTGACCTGCTCCAAACAGCTGTGTTTCATAGGAAGTTGTTTTCTAAAGGAAACGGGGGGGGGGGGGGGGTTTTTTTCTAACAGAAACTAGAGAAAGGAAGGGAAACAACACGGTTGAGTGTTGCAGATGCTGCAGGTTAGCTGTGACTGGCTAAAGAGAGGAGGGTTTCCAGGGCATGGGTTGAGCTGACGGTGGCCACATCCAAGGCCCAAGCACCAGTACCCCAGAGCACTGCTGCCCATGCAGTGGGACCTGTAGCCATACAGGGGACACCTATGGGTTTCTCTGCTTTAACAGACTCATTCTGTGTGAGAGGACTGTTTTGAGCCCAGGCTGAGCGGTTGGTCCCTCCCAGGTCCTGCATTTCCCCAGAAGGCCTCTGAGTGGTGTGTCAGCACCAACGGTGAGCCCTGGGCTTCAAGGAGCCTCCTCGCTCTGTCTTGCACGCTTTCTGCTGGGCATGGATGGATGCTCGTCTCTTGGGGAGGATTGTACCCATCAGCAAAATATCCCTCTGGCAAGGCAGTGCAGGAGGCTGTGGGTGGGATGTGCAGGTGTCAGTGATGCTCCATCCTTTGAGAGTTGGCTGATGGCAGTCATGAGGTGCTGTGAATCGGAGCCCAGCACCTGAGGAAGCATTTGAGACGGCTTTGAGATGGGCAGTCGACTGAGAAATCAATTATGCTTGGCCTTGGGCAAAATATTGCACCTTCCAGAAGTTCTTTTGTTCTTGCCCCATGAGTTTTAGCTGTAGCCTTTGCCCACCCCGAGCATCAGCTCCCTGCAGCCATTGCGAGCGCGTGGTTGGTTTGGGTTTGGTTCAGCGGCTGAGGTGGGAAGGGCAGTGTGCAGGGAGAAGTGATTTTTGAGGACAGACCTGTGAGCTGGGAACATTTCAGTTGACAGCTTGCCTGGGTTGCTTCCTTCTTTATGACAGGTCCACGGGGCTTCAGTGCACAGCCTCAGGCCTCAGCCTCCGAACCTGTAAAACGGGCCTTTGTGTGATGATCCTGCCTTTTCCCGCTCCTACCATGGCAGCCTTTCCCTCACTTAGCGTTTCCAAGTGCTGCGCGCATACCAGAGGAGTGTGCATCTGCCAAGCAGCAGTTATTTGGATTTAAATAATCTCCAGGAACGCCTGTCCATCTTGAAGGTCTCCAACGGCTGCCTTTGTGTGGTTGGGCTGGGTGGAGTCCCCTGCTCTTCTCCCCATTCCCTCCGCTCACACCCAGGCACACACCAAATCGGATATTGTCCAAGCACTCACTCCCTTCCTGTGGTTTGCCTTTATTTTTAGTTTGAGGACGGAGCGTGTTTACACAAAAGGGGGCTTCTCAGCAGGGCTTCCCACTGCTTTTTCTCCTTCTCTCTCTCTCCAAGAGCCGGCTGGGCTCCTGCAGCTCAGAGCTGGGCCTGGAGGAGCTCAGTGTCTCCAGGGGACAGGGAATGCTCTAGGTCACTTCTCCAGATGCTGGCTGCCTGCTCCCTGCCAGGCTGCGGCGTCCCTCTGCCTGGCCCCGAGGGCTTTTTGCTCCTTTCCGCAGGGTGGAGGGAGGTCTAGCTGATTTTTTTTGGAGTTCATCCCAAAATCCTCCCCTTGGCTCTGGCTGGCACTTCCCCTGGGGACAGGTCACCGTCCCAGGCTGGGATCTTGGCCAGGGGTGGGTGGTGAGGAGAGGGGCTCTCCGTGCTGCCTGCAAACCAGCCTCATTGAGCTGTCTCTGGCCCCTCACCTTAAAATTCAGTCCCACCTCTAGAAATGGAGACCCCCGTGCCTTTTCCTTGGGATGGAAAACATCCATGTTCTCTTTCTCCCTTGGCCCAGCTTACTGGTTTTACCAAACCTAATGCAGGTGAATTGAAATGGGGCAGCGCTCGACTTCTCAACCCCTGGCCAAGGCTCAGGGTAGCAGTGCCAGGGGTGTTTTAGCTTGTGTGGGTTTGCCTTTTAATTCTGGAGGTCTATGCCTCAAAATCAGCCTGGGTTATTTTGGGGGGAGCCGTGGACGTAAAGGAGAGGATGCTCCTTTCCGCGACCAGCTCCTCGGAGAGGAGACCTTTAACATGGACCTAGAGACCTTTCTAATAGTAGAGAGAAAATGAATGCTTGTGGCGATGGTAGGAAAGTGAACGTGGGACCAGGAGGAGAGAGTAAGAGGAATACAAACATCAGCAGAAAACATTCCCAAGTTGAGGTCAACGTAGTCATCTTTGATTTCCTCCACTGCTCAGCACTGTCTCATTTTTTTCTAACAGAAACTAGAGAAAGGAAGGGAAACAACACGGTTGAGTGTTGCAGATGCTGCAGGTTAGCTGTGACTGGCTAAAGAGAGGAGGGTTTCCAGGGCATGGGTTGAGCTGATGGTGGCCACATCCAAGGCCCAAGCACCAGTACCCCAGAGCACTGCTGCCCATGCAGTGGGACCTGTAGCCATACAGGGGACACCTATGGGTTTCTCTGCTTTAACAGACTCATTCTGTGTGAGAGGACTGTTTTGAGCCCAGGCTGAGCGGTTGGTCCCTCCCAGGTCCTGCATTTCCCCAGAAGGCCTCTGAGTGGTGTGTCAGCACCAACGGTGAGCCCTGGGCTTCAAGGAGCCTCCTCGCTCTGTCTTGCACGCTTTCTGCTGGGCATGGATGGATGCTCGTCTCTTGGGGAGGATTGTACCCATCAGCAAAATATCCCTCTGGCAAGGCAGTGCAGGAGGCTGTGGGTGGGATGTGCAGGTGTCAGTGATGCTCCATCCTTTGAGAGTTGGCTGATGGCAGTCATGAGGTGCTGTGAATCGGAGCCCAGCACCTGAGGAAGCATTTGAGACGGCTTTGAGATGGGCAGTCGACTGAGAAATCAATTATGCTTGGCCTTGGGCAAAATATTGCACCTTCCAGAAGTTCTTTTGTTCTTGCCCCATGAGTTTTAGCTGTAGCCTTTGCCCACCCCGAGCATCAGCTCCCTGCAGCCATTGCGAGCGCGTGGTTGGTTTGGGTTTGGTTCAGCGGCTGAGGTGGGAAGGGCAGTGTGCAGGGAGAAGTGATTTTTGAGGACAGACCTGTGAGCTGGGAACATTTCAGTTGACAGCTTGCCTGGGTTGCTTCCTTCTTTATGACAGGTCCACGGGGCTTCAGTGCACAGCCTCAGGCCTCAGCCTCCGAACCTGTAAAACGGGCCTTTGTGTGATGATCCTGCCTTTTCCCGCTCCTACCATGGCAGCCTTTCCCTCACTTAGCGTTTCCAAGTGCTGCGCGCATACCAGAGGAGTGTGCATCTGCCAAGCAGCAGTTATTTGGATTTAAATAATCTCCAGGAACGCCTGTCCATCTTGAAGGTCTCCAACGGCTGCCTTTGTGTGGTTGGGCTGGGTGGAGTCCCCTGCTCTTCTCCCCATTCCCTCCGCTCACACCCAGGCACACACCAAATCGGATATTGTCCAAGCACTCACTCCCTTCCTGTGGTTTGCCTTTATTTTTAGTTTGAGGACGGAGCGTGTTTACACAAAAGGGGGCTTCTCAGCAGGGCTTCCCACTGCTTTTTCTCCTTCTCTCTCTCTCCAAGAGCCGGCTGGGCTCCTGCAGCTCAGAGCTGGGCCTGGAGGAGCTCAGTGTCTCCAGGGGACAGGGAATACTCTAGGTCACTTCTCCAGATGCTGCCTGCCTGCTCCCTGCCAGGCTGCGGCGTCCCTCTGCCTGGCCCCGAGGGCTTTTTGCTCCTTTCCGCAGGGTGGAGGGAGGTCTAGCTGATTTTTTTTGGAGTTCATCCC